AGACTGATGTCTTAAATATTTCTGAATATTGTTCAGTTTATCAAATCAGTTAGAACAAATGTATCAGACAAGAGCAGAGGATCGTCCAGAATCCGAAACTATGCAAATAATATTTCTAGTGCGTTATATCTGTGCACAGCCAGCCCCTGAACAAAAATAGTGGGAGTGAAAGGTCACTCAGAGACAATAGTTGTTTTTAGATGGCAACAATCCACTTGGGTCTTGGCTGTAGTTGGATGAGCCGTTAAGATCATCAACACACTCAGAATTAAACTCTTTTGTCCAAACTGAGGTTGTTCAAAGAGCTATGTACAGCAGGTAAGATATTAACTGTTTATAAACTGGTAATCCCCTTGCTCAGAACCACATGTCCCAGGATCTGAACTCTCCCTTAAGTTAAAAAACATCTTGCTCTTGACTATATCACTAAGGTTGTGCCTTCAGATAAAACCAAAGTCTTCAGTAGCAGCAAAACAGACTATCAGTTTTTAAATTACAAATTCTTTATCCATGCTGACATGTGGTTTAAGTATATCACAATATAAATAACTATCTCATCTCTCTAAACTGATGATTGGTGCAGGCAGTGGTTGCTTTGTGCAGAGGCTTAAAGACAGGTTAGCTGCTCTGCCCGTTGCCTAGAAGAGTAGCTTGAGCTCATTATCCTGATGAAATTCGCGCAGATGTGTGAGCTGCCGACAGTCTCTGCAGTGACACAAACAGCCAGCTTTGTCCCCTTGAGCCTGTCAGGTGATGAAAACCGGAGAGGCACGATGGGAGGGGGGAGGCTGAGAAACGACGGTCATTAAGCAAAACAGAAAGAGGTGAGGGAGGGTGGAGGATGGGGTCTGTGTGCGTGTGTTACAAGAGAAGGTGACGGACATTTGATGAGGGGGTACAAAGTGCTACATAAAGTAACCATTTTTTAACTGTCTTCTTATAATTCACAATAAAAAAGGTAACTGTGCACATGTGCAGTTGACTTCTCTTCAGGCTCTGATCTGACTGTTTCCAAGTGATGAGCAGAATGCCGCTTAACGGGAAGGATATTTGATCGCATGCTCCCCACCCCTTAGGGAACCTATCACAATGCCTATTATACTGTTCTATTTGCATATGTGGACCTTATAGGTTGGTCTGAGATATAATGTGAATATTCTTCACTGCAGAAGGACTCAATACGGCTAGAAAATCAGTGATCAGAATGGAAAGAGAAAACAGGGCCTTCTAGTCAGTCAAGGTGCAGTTACACACTTGACACTCAAAGACCTCAAGTTTAACACTAGACTGGCATCAACATTCAAAAAAATTTTTGCTTGGTCATCAACCAAGAAACCAAACATGTCCATCCATCTTTATCTTCCGCTTATTCCGAAGTCGGGTCGTGGGCGCAGCAGCTTGAGCAGAGAGGCCCAGACATCTCTTTCCACAGCCACCTCTTCCAGTTCTTCTGGGAGGACTCCAAGGCGTTCCCAGGCCAACCGAGAGACATAGTCTCTGCAGCGTGTCTTGGGTCTTACATGCCCAAAGCACATCTCTAGGGAGGTGCCCAGGAAGAATCCTTACCAGATGCCTGAACCACCTCAACAGGCCCCTCTCGATATGGAGGAGCACCAGTTCTTCTTCGAGTCTCTCCCAGATGACTGAACTTCTCATCCTATCTGTAAGGGAGAGTCCAGCTACCCTGCGTAAGAAAATCATTTCAACCGCCTGTATCCACAATGCCATTCTTTTGGTCACTACGCAAAGTTCGTGGCCATAGGTGAGGGTAAGAACGTAGACCTACCGGTAAAAAGAGAGCTTTGCCTTACAGCTCAGCCCCCTCTTCACCACAATGGACGAGTACAGAGTCCGCAATACTCCAGATGCTGCACCAATCCATCTGTCAATCTCACACTCCATTCTTCCCTCACTCGTGAACAAAACCCTGAGATACTTGAACTCCTCCATTGAGGCAGAACCTCACCCTCGACCTGAAGAGAGCAGCCCACCCTTTTCTGACTGAGGACCATGACCTCAGATTTGGAGGTGCTGATTCTCATCCCAGCCGTTTTACATTGGGCTGAGAACTGCTCCAGTGAGAGCTGGAGGTTATGGAATGATGATGCCAACAGGACCACATCATCTGTGAAGAACAGAGATGGAATCCTGAAGCCACTGAACCAGAATCCCTCCGTCCCCTGGCTGCACCGAGAAATTCTGTCCATACATATTATAAACATAATCGGTAACAACGGGCAGCCCTGCTGAGTTTAACTCCCACCCTGAAGGTGTCCGACTTGCTACCAGCAATGCGAACCAAACTCTTGCACCGATTGTACAGGGATTGAACAGCCCGTAGCAACGGGCCCCCAATCCCATACTCATGGACCAAACATACGTTGCCTTGAATTTACACATTCTAAATGGCCCTGAGATAAAGAGCAAAGACACTAACACTAAAATTATCTTACTGGGCTGCAACTGCTGGTGACTAGTTGGAGAATGATGTTCACAAGGCAGTTTCCAAAATCTCTCAAAATATCTACAGAAGTTCTGACATTTCTCATATGTGACAGAGGCTTGCAGTTTTGTTGCTTGAACTTTGAATGTATACAAAAAATGTGTGCAACAAATTTTCTCTTAAAATAATTAAAAAGTTGTTATGGGCCTTTCAAAGCCCCCTTAAACCTTTCTCAGTTTAGTTGCTGTAAATTCTAGACTGCTAGTTCTGTATTTTGACACAGCTACATGGAAATGGAAGCTATCATATGATTAAAAAACATCAAAATCTGAATATGACTGTCTAAAAACAATACAGATTATAAATAATAATAATTATCATTGGCTCCCTGTCAAACTCAGAATAGAATTCAAAATCTTACTTCTAACCTACAAAGCCCTCAACAACCTAGCTCCATTTTACATTGCAGATTGTATTGTTTCATATTTTCCTAACAGAGCACTTCATTCTCAAACTGCAGGCTTACTTGTGGTTCCTAGAGTTTCCAAGAGCAGAATGGGAGGAAGCTCTTTCAGTTATCAGGCTTCTCTCTTGTGGAACCACCTTCCAGTTTCTGTTCATAAGGCTGAAACATTGTCCAGTTTTAAGACTGGGCTTAAGACTTTCCTTTTTGATAAATCCTATAGTTAGGGTTGGCTTGTTATACTGCCTTAAGCTTAGACTACTGGAGGACAAATTGACCTCATTTCCTTAAATGATTTGCTAAAATTGAATAGTTTTCATTTGATATTATTTATATCTTAACATGTGACTCTTGACCTGCCATTGTGTATCTGTTCCTCCTTCCTGTTCTTCTCAAATCCAACCGGTCGAAGCAGATGGCCGCTTGTTCTGAGCCTGGTTTTGCTAAAGGTTTCTTCCTCATGATAGAGTTTTTTCTTTCCACTGTTACCTTCATGCTTGCTCAAGATGAGAATCTGAGTTGAAGTTAAACTCAAAGCAGTCTGCTCCTCAGATAAATACTGTTATTAACTTACATATATAACAATGTTTTTGTTCAGTGCCCAAAGATGACTTTTGTTGTGACTATATAAATAAATAAATTGAATTGAATAGATTTTTTTTTTTAAAGTCCAAATCTGCCGATCTTCATTTCAAAAGTGCAGTAAATTAAGCCAAAACTGGGACAGCTGCTTATGTGGGTATAAAGTGAACAGTGGCACGTATGATGAGGACTGTGCTTGGAAACAAAAAATTGATCTCAAACACTTCAAATTCAGTGAAACTGCTATAAAAATTGCATATTTTCTTGCAATTTTGAGTCAACAACTAGTCTCCAACAGTTGCAGCACAGCAACACGCTACCTGAAAAAAAGAGGCTTTATGGTGGAAAATGTGTAACTGTGTGAGCAGAAATTAGTTTGTTGGATAAAAAAAACAAAATAGTGCATACATGCTCAGTAAACTTTCCCTGGATGAATAAAATGTTTCCTTTTTGTGAAACTTGTGAGAAACTTGGAAGAACCCACATCTGCTCCCCAAGTTCTACACCAACAGCAACAACAACAGGTGAGCGCTGCTTGTTTTATCCCCCTCCTACTCAAATTTAGAAGAAGCTCCAAGTCTACAGAAGCTCCACACGATCCTCTTGATCCTTGTTAGTGAGCCAAGGAGTGCAAGTACTAAGCAAAGTTACTCTGGAGTAAACACACACAAAACAAATGCAAACTTCAGGAAAAAAAATAAATCATTTTGTTTGCGTAAACAACTTTAACCATTCGGTAAAAGATGTGTGGTCTACTTTCTGGGTCTCCACTGGGAATGCATTCAATAAAAGACCTGTAGTTGAAATAGATAAGATATAACAACTTCCTACCTAAAAGAGCACTAAATCAGTTCAAAGACTTGCCACTTCACTTGTGTGAGTGTTGCACCTTGGCGTATTGGGAATATATACACATATTTTTTATTATTTTCTACTACAAAAAGTTAATCCTAGCCTGCTATACCTGAAACCCTCATTAAAAAAAAACAACACATTTTTACTAAAAACAATTGTTTTACACACAAATAATGTAGTAAAAACAACATTTTTAAGTGTTTTGTCTCACAAAGATTGGTAGATATTTGTTTATGACAAAAAAAAGTACCTCAAAGATGAGTTAGAGACGCTCGGTGAGTGATTGAAATGCCAAACCCAACGAAGGTCAAATTGAAGCTAAATTACTGTTAGTTGCGTACCGGTATATCTTTTCTTTGATAGCATTTCTATCAAAATGGCCAAAACTAAATGGACCTTATTTAGACAGAAATTATATTGGTGCAAGATGAAGAAGCTGAATAGATGGTGTGGGGAAGCAAATGGGGTGAAGGAGGTGGAGGAAGGCGTTGGTGTGCAGAGGTTCATTTTCTACACACTGACATCAATCGGGGAGAATAATTTCTCTAAGTTTTTTAAGTCCGACTTTAAATGGCATTACATATGTAGTGAAGCATGAAAAATTTATGCGTTGGAGTCGGGGAAATGTCAAGGGTAATGATCTCCGAAGCAGCTTACCTCCTTAGCTTTCTGTTTCAGCCGAGCTTGCTCTGGGTCCTCTTGCCTTGAGCGACTCTGTTGAGAAAAGAAGAGAAAGGAAGGGAAGGGTGTTGGGGGGGGGGGGGGGGGGGGGTACGCACAGGTTAACAGCTGGTTTAAGGAGCCCACTCCTCCACTTTGCTATCTGTTGCTGCTGCAGCAAAAAATAGTACCAAAAAAAAAAGGAGAATCGGGATACAGAGGTGTCAAGGACATCATATCTGAATGCTGAGAAGTGCAATGAAGCACCCCCTAGGGGGGCATTGGCCTTTAAACCTGCTCCAAATCCAGCCCTAAATAAGCCGCTGGAGGGGAATGCTAATCAAAAGAGGTTATTAAAAAGTCTGCATGAGCCAGCACACATACGCACACACAGGGTAGAGGATGTCAGTGACAATGGTTGTCTGTGTGTCCCTGGCCTAACAACACAGCGCTTCTATTTTAATCAGCAGCTATGATCTGGGTGAATGTTCTCGTCCCTGGAAATCCTTCACGACAGGGCAAAACACACATGTACAGATGACCACTGCAGGCAATTCAGACAGATTATGACACAGGGGACTTACTGAGTGTTGTTTGTATCAGCATAAGCATATTTCATGTTGCTGCAATAACCATAATGTCACTCTGCAAACAGAATTTTTGAATTGTTGTACGACGTGCACTTGAAAATTCAAGTGCCTTGAATTTGTTTTCTCCTTGACTTTAAGTCTATAAGAAATGTGAAAATGACACATATAAATCTTGCAACTCTGTAAGAAGTAAAAACATTTAGTTAACTTTCATATGAAATCAGTCAAAACTTGCTTTGTACATTACTTCTTCACAACCGTTTCTTTGTTTCGGCATCTGCTCTGCAGTATAAATGGAGAGCTGCTCCCCATAAGCCTTCCTGCTAATTGGCTTTACATATAGCAGGCCGTTCACGTACCGGTCCCTATCTCAACTAAGACTAATGTGTTTGGCCTTCAGTCGACCAGAGCATCCCTCAAGTCTTGAGTCATATTTTAAATGACCGGCACAGTCAAAGGGAAGGCTTGTTGTGAAGGAGGGAGACATGGTGGAAGTGATTAGTTCAATGGATTTTAATGCAAGGGGTCAATTAGCAGGCAGTCAAGCAGGGAGGTGTGTGTCAGGTGGGTGGAGGTGTGGAACGAGTAGGTACAGATGGAATATCTAGAAACCAGAGGTGCCATTAACATCCCATATGTGATCATGTAATGCTGTAATTTATTATTTTAAACTCAGATAGTTTTTTTTTTCTTTTTTAACCCAGAAATAGATTTTCATTTGGTTGTGTTAAATGGAAAAATGGAAAAGTAAAATAATACTGTGGCGTATTGAGGCTCACTATGAAAACAAAGAACTATAGGAAGTCTGTCCTTACAGTTTTATCCAACAAGATCATGATAAAACACTTAATGTGAAGTGTCTAATTTGCTTGAGTTTTTTTTGTTTGACACACAAAGCCAACCTGGACAGAAAAACGCACAGTGCAACATCTTCAGCCAAAGAACTGTCCTCCTCAGATCTGAGACTCAACGTTACTGCAGCGGTCTGAGATCATCTTAACAGAAGGAGGTGGATGAACTAGCCTGGAGATTTGTTCTTGAAAAATACTTTAAGAAATTACAAAATCACTGGAAAATTTCCTCAGGTTAATAGAAAACAAGTAAAAACTAATAAAATAATAACTTTAAAACAGAATAGCATTAATTAAATCCTGTAATTTATTTATATTTTTAAAAAGATTCAATCAATTTCTGCACATATTATCAAGTTTCCTGGAAAACTTCTAATAAGGGAATGTTTACACTGTTTTCTTACACAGCATTATAAGAACATTCTGCTTAAAGAAAAATAAAAAAATGTTTGTACAGGTAAGTGGCTCAGAATGAACTGATTTGTCTTTTTTCCTCTTTAAATTTAGTCTTATAAATTATCTGATCAATTTTAAACTGCTACACTCACAAAATAGACACAAAAAACACTTTTGTTTCCATACAATTGATTGGAAAACATGGATTACAAATACACAGAATACATTAAATAAATATCATGTAAACTACTGCTATATTAACAGAAGCCGATAGTGGATCATAGGCATGAATTTGCTTTCCAAACTTGCCCTTAAACAGAAATGCCATGGCAACTGAAGCCAAAAAGCCACAGATTTTGCTCAAGGGTGAATCTTTACTCCACAAGCCTCGTGCGATCCAAACAGCCTCAAGTGAAGCGCCTACAAAAAGTTATTCACAAAAAGTGATAATAAAAAAGCTTTCTACGATAAACAAAAAAGATTAGAATGTTAAACTATGTGAAATGTGGCACGGATAAAAAATATTATATTTTACTGCTCTTTTGAAGTCTAAACCACTTGGAAACATCAATTTTGTAGACTGACCAACAGAAACTACATGGGTGTCCATTAACAAAGAAAAAAGTCTTTGGAAAATGTGGTCAGCTTTAAACAAAAAGGAAATTTTGCAATATCCTGCACAATGATCACATGAAAAAAGTGAGGTATACCGCTGTAAGAATCTTTACTGTGAGACATTGACTCCATCAAGTTCATTAAATGAACCTATTTCTGCTAACGTTGCACTGCAACTGCACTGTTCTGCCCTTTTTTACAGCACAAATAAAGATCCTGGACTTCTGCCACTGCTATTAGAAACTCATTGAAAATAAAACGCCTGTAAAATTCTGACGGTGCCAAAATTTAATCCATCCAGAAAATAACTTCTAATAAACCCTTGACTCCAGAATGGACTATTTTAATTTTAAGGAATAAAACTGCCATAAATGCTGCAATAATAATAAAAGAAGCAGACAAAATTATTTACACTTACTTCGCTCTAAAATCTTAAATAGTTATCCTATTTTTTTAACCTATAGAATGTATGAATAATGAGTATGAGTAATAAAAAATTATTATCATTACACAAATTTTATTTAAAAAAAACACACTTAATTTAATACTGCTCCAAACAACAGCTAATAAACTTAGTGGACTAAGACCATTGCCATAAATGAATTACAAATAGCTTTTTAATTTACCCATACACACACACACACACACACACACACACATTTATATATATATATATACATATATAAATCAAATGTTTATTGTTTTCAGTTTAAGAAATTATAAATTGTGCATATTGTTTGGAGTTTTAGTTATTTTGTTAATCTGTGTTCATTTTCTGCTCTTACAGTAATCGTCTCTTCTTTACTTGTTTCCATGTTGTAATAAATTTGTTGAACTGATGCATCTGTTGGCTCACTGATGACTTGTGTTGCCCCCCACCCCCACTCCCACCCCCACCCAATTTTTTAGAGACCAAGGCCCACACACTGACTTCAACAGCTACAGGTCAAACACAGAAACTGGGCGAGAAACATCTTCATGAATAAAGAACCTCTGTGTCAGTGCATGGGTTAAATTTACTGACCATAAACAGCACATTGTGCACACCTTTTCATACCTTTTTGTTTTTGGATTTACAATGTCTTCCATAAAAATAAACCTTACTTCTGTAATAGTTTTTATTTCTATGAGGTATTTTGTGACAAAAATTCCTTTAGCGGCATTTTAAATCATGCTGATGCACGATTCTACTGCAGTTCCTGTGCATACGTTTATGAATTCTTCCCTTTGAATTTCTGCTGATGAATTTGAAATTGAGTTTCTATAGCAGATCATGGTTATCTGTGGTATCTATAGTATTTATGAAATATTTTGAAAAATGTTACTAAATGAAAAAAAGTTGAGAAAAACGTATGTCAGAGCAGGTTGGGTGGGGGGAAAAGTGTTTTGGCTTCATGTTGGATGAGGGTTTATTATCATACAGATCCTGGCTCTGTGATGAGAAAGAGCCAGGACAGAGGAGCCCCGGGGTCAACAGCCTGGGTCACCTCACTCACAGAAGTCATACAATCATTTGTCAGAGCTTACGCACATACATGCACAAGTGCACAAGCACCGTGTTGCACAGAGACTGAACTTTATCATACACTCCCACTTAGCAAGAAGGTAAGGTGACAGTGACTCACTTTAGCTGCTCTCAGAAGGATCTCCCTCTCCTGCTCGTCCTTCCTCTGCTTCTCAATTCTCTCCAGCTGCTCGAAGAAGCGAAGCTGCGAACGAACGTCTGCAGTCTGCTCGTAATACTCGTCGTCCTGAGAAGAGACAGAAGGAACGTTAAACTAAACTCCAAGTTGTATTCAGTTGCTACTTCCTTGACTTTATAAGTCTAAAATACTTGACAGCCACCATCAGGTTAAATATAAAAACAGTAATATTGAACAAAATAAAAAAATATGTGTCTTAAACGCAGAAGAAATTTACACCAAAAATGTAGCAGAAAATTTAATTATCAATGTCAACAAATAAACAGCATAATTGATTTTTAAATCATAAACAGAGATCCAGTTTGTCAACATGGATCTTAAATTCTAATTTTATTTAAATTACAGCTAAATGGCTAATATAAAGAACTGCTGTTGTTTGACTTTAAGAAACCCAAATCAACATATTCCTAATACCAAATTTATAAAATGTATTTTTGCCTAAATAAGGTGAACTATTGACTGAATAAGCGGTCAAAGTTGTTAAAAATGCTCTTTTCTTGCAACAAAAAGAACAATAAGCAAACAACAACATTGTAATTAAAAAAATCTATAATTACAGTTAATCAGCAGACGAGCAGTCTTGCTTACAAGCTTCAAATTACCTTCAGCAGACCTTGGTTTAAACAAAAAAAAGTCCTACTTTAAAATGCAGTTCTACTAAAACACAACCCGTTTTCACGCGTCAACACACTTGAACACACAAACCCTTTCTATTTACAGACTCTTTTCTTCACCTCCCATGTGGGGAGTTTTAAAGGTAAGCGTAAAAACAACTTTTTAGGTCATTAAACGTTAATAGGATAATTGTCTATTTCTCATGTTTGTGTGTGCGACACTGCAGGCCTCAGTTCTTGCATTGATCTTGATATCTACATCATATTCTCACTTCTCGCCTGCCATCTGTGTGTGTCAGGTTTGTCTGAGTGTGTGTGGGGGTGTGGAGATGAGACGAGCTGAGTGGCACAGAGCACAAAGCTACATCAGAGGAGGCTCGTCACCAACCCCCCCCCCTACACACCACCACCCTACTTTTCTGTCGCTCCGATCCAGCCTCCCTCGTCTTTGTAGCATCGCTGAGCCCGCACTCTCCCACCGAAGCCCGGCTGCTCTTTAAGGCCGCTTTGTCTTTTGGTCTTTCTACTGCCTCTCTTTCTCTCTCTTTTTTTTCCCGCTGATGTCAACAGAGTGGCTTCACAGGGATTCATGCCTCTCCCGAACCCACCTCATTTAGAAAACCACAAAAAAGAAGAAGGAATGGAAAGAAGCGGCACAAAACAAGATGGGGACAACTGTGGCGATGCTCTTTCTACCGCTTCGGCATCAGGAAAAAAAACATTTTCAAAGTTTCCCCCAGTTCAACTAACAATGAAAAGACTCAGCCTTGTAGTGGAGATGGGTTGTGCTTTTATGTAGACCAATTAAATGTGGTTACATAGCTCAATTCAAGAGCTGTGAGAGGTAAAGGTGCCAATAATGAGAAAAGTATGCAGATCATTAGATGATCGTTCGGAAGCTGTCATTCCAGGCTTTGACTGACTGAAAGAAACTTACAGCTCGTGTGCGGAACAACTTGAGGACATTAAAGCATTCTTACATTGAATTTTATGTGTTTATTTTAATGGTACACCTGCTTTTTTTGTTAGGGAGGTAATTTGTAGATGCTGGTGCATAAATCAGTGCCCATGTCTATATTTGAGTACAGTGCTGCATGTGCGTACCTCTGTGTCTTGGTAAAATACAGTATCTTCCTTTGCTGTACAGTTTTTAAAAAAATCTCATAAATTAAATAAAATGTTTACTGTATTCTGTCAACAACAAAAAAACTGTTTAAATTCCAATGACTACTCAGATATAAGCCAATATAACATAAAAACGTTAAAGTTGAGTAAAGGAGTGCATAAGTTTTAACCCAATATCTCACACAATATGTTAAGTGTTTGGAATATTTTGGTACTGCCATTCCAAATTGTAGTTCAAAATTTTGTAAAAATGAAAGAGTCGTTGCCATTTTTTGTGTTTGCTTAGTTGGTTTATTGTGGCAGTCATCTTGAATCAGGCTGACCCCAGAAGTTAGTTATAGACAATACATTCAAAATTAGTTTTAGTGTTTTATTCCAATCGGTCCAGTGCTTCATGAAACGGAATAGAATGGAATCTTTATTGCCATTGCACATCAGGTATACAATGAGATTGCAATGCTTCTCAGTAAAATAATAAAACAGGAATAAATATATAATTGATTAAAGAAAAAAGGATGTTTAAATTATATATACGGTATATATTTACTTTGTTTACCCTTAGCATACACACACTATGAGTTCAAAGACGTGATGACCCAGGGAAAGAAACTGCTTTTGAGTCTGTTTGTCCTGCTCTTAAGGGACCTGTACCTCCTACCAGAGGGCATTTGGGTGAACATGTGCTGTCCTGGGTGTGTGGGGTTGGCAATGATTGCCCTCACTCTCCTGAGACAATACATGCTGGCGATGTCTTCTAGAGAAGGTAAGGGACTGCCAGTAATACGTTCTGCCGTGTTTATGACCCTCTGCAGGTTCTTTCTTGCTGATGCAGTGCAGTTGGCATACCAAGCTGTAATGCATTAGAACACTCAGTGCTGCAGTAGAAGACCACTAACAGTTTGCTCTTTAGATGGTTTCTTCAGTGTTCTTAGGAATTGGGAGTCTTTGTCAGGCCTTTTTTTTTTACCACCACTGATGTGTTGGCAGTCCAAGAGAGGTCCTCAGATATATGTGCCCCAAGGAGTTTGAAGGAGGACGCCTGTTGAACACAGTCCCTGTTGATACTCAGTGGGGTACCTTGTGCTTCCTGAAATCAATCATCATCTCCTTAGTTTAGCTGGTGTTGAGCAGCAAGTTGTGCTCAGAACACCAACCTGCTAGCTTGTTGACCTTGTCCCTAAATGCAATCAGATCCCCTCTGTTGATGAGGTTGATGACGGTGATGTCATCTGTAAATTTAATAATGATATTGGAGAGGTGGATGGCTGTCCTCGCCATGCTGTCTTGTTCTGTCACCTGACTTTAAGGCCAAGTTGCAGGCTCTAAGAAGAGTCCGGACATCCGTAGTCACCAATGTCTTTTGATTAGGGTAGATCCGGATGTGCTTCTCCACTGTAAAATTTGTCCGTACTGTTCTTTACATTTAACAGAACAATGTCTGTGTTCCTGTAGATCAAGATATTCAAATGCTCAAAGCAATCTTGAAGCTGGAAGAGTGCTCCTTCTGGCCAGGTTTTAATGTTCTTTGTGGCAGGTTTGGATTTCTTTCTGAGTGGGGTACATGCAGGCACGAAGAGAAGTGAGAGATGGTCTGACATACCAAGGTGAGGGAGAGGTACAGCTCTGTAGGCTAGCTTCAGGTTAGAATCAACATGGTCTAATGTGTTTTTCCCTCTAGTGGAGCACTGTATCTACTGTACAAAGTTAGGGAGCACAGTCTTAAGGCAATCCTGGTTAAAATCCACGGCAACAATAAAAACTTCCTCTGGATGGGCCTGCATATGTCTGTTAATGGTGGCGTACAGCTGAGAGTGCGCTATGCTATCATTAGCATCTGTTGGAACATACATGACAGCAATGAACACTGTTGTGAGCTCTATGGGCATGCAAAAGGGTCAACACTAAGGGTGCACCGATAAATCGGCTGGCTGATTTATCGGCCCCGATTTCCTTAATTTTGGGAAATCGGAAATCGTCCGATACTTGCATGAGAAACCGATTTTTACCAAATTTTTTAGTTTTAACAACAATTGTCTGAACTTAATTTATATTTCAGAGCACTACCTCATGGCCAGTTAAAACAAGTTTGTTTTGTTTCTAGGATATTGTTCAAGGGTATGGTTTTCAATAAAATAATATTGGAAAATTGGAGGTGCATTGTCACCTTATAACACCTGACAGTGTCGCTTAATAAACAAAATCAGTATCGGCCAAAATCGGAATCGGCAGGTCAGCCGTTTTAGAAATCGGTGATCGGCCAGAAAACTGCAATCGGTGCACCCCTAGTCAACACTGTACAGTCATTACCTCCAGATGCAGAGGCCAGTGTGAATGATCCTGCTGCTTATACACCAGTTTCTTTGTACATTAATACAGAGCCCCTCTCCTCTGTTCTCACTGGAGTTTTATTCCTGTCGAAGTGGCGCATGGAGCGGCCGGTTTGCTAAATGGCCAAGTCCGGGATAAGCGGGTGTAAACAGGTTTCCGTGATAATCATCACCCTGCAGTCCCAGATGATTTGGGTGTTTGCCATCAGTAATTCCAGTGTGCCAGTTTTTGGGATGATGGGCCTTGCATTTGTGAGGAAGATACTGTGTAGCAGGGGTCTGTAAGGATTCTTCTTTAGCCATTCTAGTAGGCCACCCCTACAGCACCGCATCTGCCTCCACTCCCTGCGCTGCCTCCGGTGTCTCCTAGGTCCAACAACAACAACTCAGGGTGTGCCAGGGGATCTCGCTATGTCCAGGGAAATGTGAAGTCGCTGGTAATCCATTGTAATGTCTACACAACATGAAAATCTCACCTTTCTCAGCATAGCTGGTGTATAGATGCATCTTATCTCACTCAAACACACTCGTACATAGGGGTGTAAATCACCAGCTTTACCACGATACAATATTATATTGATTTGTTTGTATGATGATACAATTTTTCTCGATAACACAAAGTCTGTCACGATACGATTTCGATTCTATTCGATTCACAAGTGCGATAGATATACTGCAATATCAAATGCCCATCTCATTTAAATATAAATAAATTTACAAAAACAATTCAAATATGATTGAACCATTTTATTTCTGTTATTACAGGCACCAGACATTTAAATAAAAAAACATTTTTCTTAATTAATGAAAAAATAAAAATAAATGACCTGTTCAGTATAGTCTCATATTTCTCAGAAACAAAAATAGATACTGAGCTTACAAAACATGGCTATCAATGCTGTGTTTCTTCTTCAGGTGAGCGGCCAAGTTTGTTGTTTCCCGAGTATTTTAACTCACACTGGCACCTGTTGCATACAACATGAGTTTTGGCTGTTGAGCCGCCCTTCTGTCGGAATCAAAAATATTTCCAGTGTTGATTTAAATCCAGCAGGAGAGTGTATTTCATTATCTGTGTTTTCTGCCTTGCCTGCCATGTTGCTGAGGCGGTCACAGAGCGCAGCCGCGCACGGAAATGGTGACACAGATGTGCCTTGGGAATTTCAAAATAAAAGCTTATTTTAAAGATGACGATATGAATAGATATTTTAGTTTTGCCACAATATAATCGAATCATTAATCGTTTAATCGATATATCGATTTAAATTGATGTATCGTTACACCCCAACTCGTACACACAAAAACATTCAAGCCATTACGGAAACTGTACATCAAAACCAAGAGCTCAGAGCCGCCGTTATCTTAGCATGCCACCATCTTGAACTATTATTTTGCTGACAGACACAGACACACACACAAGAAATGAGATGATCATTTGCCTTTCATCCCAGCGACAGATAAATGGGGATTTTTTTTAAACATTCAATGTTTTTTTTTACCCATTTCCCATTTAGCAGTTTCTCAGCAATGAAACTGTTTTTTTTTTTTCTTCTTTTTACCAGTGTTTATGTCAGTTTAGGTCAGATGTTTTCAATTTGTGACGGACTGTTTGTGTTCAAGGCTGCGTGCATGCACCCTTCTTACCTTACAGGAGTCGAGTCGTTGCTGTGCAATAATAGAAACTTTTTCTACAACAGTCCGAAGTCGTGACTGTGTTGCATGTGAGAGGAATGTCACAGCTTCCATGGACACTTCTGTCACTCCAAACTTCTTAGCTGTGAAGAATAAATACAGACATATAAGATAAGGTGGAACTTCTACCAACTTAAGTGTCAAACAGAAACTACTTACGTTTTCATCTACTAAAAGGATAAAAAGATTACAAGGGACAATCACACAGCCTCAATTGCATCTATGGGTTGCCATTTTAGAAAAAGACAAACCAAAAATCAGGTGAAAAATTATTATTATTATTGACTGAAACACTTTTATAATCACACAGGACCTAATAATAATAATAATAATAATACCAGAGCTTTGATTTAGTATTCTCATAAATACACATACCACTGGAAAGTACTTCCACACACTTTCACAAAGGAACTATCTGAATTAGCACGTTCAATAATCTGCAAGATAGAGAAGTCATCAGACAGAAAAGTTAATTTATTTCACAGTCTTAGATCAAATTCCAGAGCGGTTTAACAAACTGAGCCCCTTTCGATGAGTAAACTACACTGACCATCTCTTCTGCAGAAGGATAATTTAGTTTCCTTTAAGCAGAACTCATCTGAAGACATAACAAAAGAGGGAAGGACAGACTTTGGTAGTGTTACTATCTGTGTCTTACTTCCTTTTAAATTATTCCATTAACATAATTTTCTCTCTGGCACCCTTTTAAGTAAACCACACCAATTATTTAAATCAGCTGAACAATGCATACACTCTTCAACTACTGAAGCTTTGAAACAGATGGAGAGAACCCTGTTAGTCTTATAATTACAGTGGCAATACATGTGGCAATGTCACAAGGTCGCAGAAAACCGCTAACAGGCTTCTACTCCTTAAAAATACAATCTTTCAGGGACATTAATATTTCAGAAAAAGTTTAAGAGACTCTGCAACAAAAAGAGAGAAAGAGAAAGACTCATTTCTGTGAGCAAAAAACTGTTTTTCTCAGATGGCAATGATACTAATTATTATTCTTCACCTAGAAAAATAACAGGCTAATGATCTACACTGCTTTCATATTTTTCCTATAACTCCTGCTAGAGGAGTTATGCAGGAGGGGTGTGCGTGAAAGGCTGCAACATTTGCAATTGTGTTTACATTTCATCCCAAATTATTTCCCAGAGCAGCTTTTTCAGCTTTACTCATAAACTGTTACTGATGGCTGTCTTCATACAATCAGACAATCAAAACTATCTTTGCAATTACAGTCCCGGTTTTTCATACCAGGACATAATAATCATATGATTTTTTTTTTTTTTTTGTGCTTCCAAATTTGTGGTAGTGAGATTTTTTTTAATGTCTTCTCCATGTGCCTCATGTATGAATGAGTTTGCAGCTTTCCTACTGAAAGTTGGTGTATGAACCAAATTAGAAAACTGAGTCAAAGCAGATGGCCGCTCGTCCTGAATCTGATTCTGCTGAAGGTTTCTAGCTGTTAAAAGGGAGTTTTTCCTTTCCACTGTTGCCTTTCTGCTTGCTCAGGATGGGAAACTGCGATTTAAGTGAAGATTAGACACAATTGGCTGGCTTCCTTAGATAGATAACTTTTACTAATTGGCTTTTATAATGTACGTGAATGTTTCTGTAAAGTGCCCTGAGATGACTTCTGTTGTGACTTGGTGCTATATAAACAAACTGAAGTGAATTGTGTACACACTGAAATATTCGGATTTATCAAACTACTGATGTGTGCACTAATTTCAGTGCAACTTTCCTTCATACATCTGGCCAAACATAAAATGGAGCAGACATGAGACACCTACCCTGACACGCCTCCATTTGAATATACAAATAGATACAAATATGATCTGCATGTGTGATTCTACTTTCTGCATGATCGAAATTTATGTTTAGATGCAGGCAAATTAGAATTTGAATGGAATGTGAGTCAGAGATGCTTCTAAATAAATTAGTAGTGCAAAAAAACGTGTTTAGCACACATGGGGGGAGTGGTGGCGCAGAGGTTAGAGAAGGTGGGCCTGTGATCAGAAGATCGCCAATTCAAGCCCCGGTACCAACAACATCAAAAATGTGGGTGGGGTAGGTGAAGCACCCACGCCTGCCCTCACCCTCATTTGCCCCACTCTGGGCCCATGAGCAAGGCCCTTAACCCCCATCTGCTCCCTAAAAAAAAACACACAAAAAAAAACAGGTCTCTCTTAAAAATGAGTTCTCGTGGCTCAATGAGACTGCCTGTATAAATAAAGGTTAAATGAAAAAGAAAATGCACAAAGACAAGTGATTGTGTGTGAAGTTGCGGTTGTCATTGAATGAAGTGAACCAGAGGCGCTGGTCTGCCATTTATGAGACTGAGCCATTTCCAACTTTATGCATATGAATAATACCATACTGTAAACACAGAGATACTCAGGGGCTTGGTAGAACCTAGAAGTAGGCCTGTCACGATAATACATTTTGTTGGGTGATTAATTCCATCCATCCATTTTCTTCCGCTTATCCGGGGTCGGGTCGTGGGGGTAGCAGCCTAATACCCCTTTTGCACTGCCCCTAATCAGCCCCAACTATGCTCAGCCCTGCACACCCATACTTAGCCTGGCTCAGCTCAGCCTGGATTTGCACCTGCACTTTAGGACCGATTCTGGAGGCGTGTCCAGAATCCAAGTCCTGCTAATGAGAGTTCTGCTATGAGTTACTCAAAGCAGTCTGCTCCTCAGATAAATAATATAAAATTATTTTATATATGAATGTTTCTGTTAACTTTTTTTATATATGAATATTTCTGTTCAGTGCCCAGAGACGACTTCTGTTGTGACTTGGCGTTGTATAAATAAACTGAACTGAATTAAATCTGATGAACCAGATTCTACAAAAACATTTGTATTTAAATCTAAAAAAGTTAAGTCTGGTCCTCTGGACATTCAAAAAACAAACCAAACAAAAACAAAAGTAGAAATGTTTCTTCTTTCATCCGAAAGACTTCTTCAGTCTGAGGTGCTGTCTTCAGCTCATAGCTATTTATAAAAGACTGAGCTGAATACAGCTCCTCAGAATGAAGAAGTTTTTCAGATGAAAGAAGAAACGTTTCTACATTTTTGTTTGTTTGTTGGTTTTTGAATGTCCAGAGGACCAGACTTAACTTTTTGAGATTTTTCTACCTGGATTATTGAGCATGCATCAGGATATCTATATTTAAAATTCTATATTTTTCTTCATCATTTGATGCATTTGCACTCATTGTGGTTTTGTTTCTTGTATACAGATTATTTTTTCTTGTATACAGATTATTTTTAGCTTTGAATTAAAGTTTAGCTTTGATTTAAAGCTTTAATTTAAAGTGTAAAGCTTGTTTTGTGATTTGTACATCTGTGGGTTAGAATAATGTTAAACCAAAGACTGTATCTCTTCTTTAAACATATTTGAGGGAAATATTCCTGAGATCCAATAATTTTGTCTTTTTATGATTTTTCAGTTGAATTAACTGTAATTAAGATTATTTAATAAAGTCAAATGGAAAACAGGATTTCACGATAAAGCCGGCACCGTTTATTTATTTTTAATCTTCACTGATAAAAAAAAAATATTTTATACATAAAATGCAAAAAAAAAAAAAAAACGTTTCCACCCTCCGTCCCTCCATCCCGGTCCTCCCGCCTGCCAGGGCTCGAATCCGGCCTTTGTGAGCAGGCAAGGCCGGGGCTCGGGATTCGACCTTGTGGGCTTCAACGGCTCGGCAGCTCGTATGATCCTCTGCGGTGACTCCGCTCGCTCGAATTTTATAATCAGTCACCAACACAAAAAACACCTGGACTTCAGCATTAAACACGGTGTTGTCATTATCGTTTTTAAAATCTTAAAAATTGATCCAGCCTCTGCTCCGCATCCAGAGAAATTGCAAATGGTCGATCGGTGAAAAGTTTCTGAGATCCAGTGACTCCTCCCCCTGACCAATCAGAGTCCTGCATTCACGTTTCGGTTTGGACTCAGCTCAGCTGAGCTCGCTCGGTCCCACCAGAGAAGCAGGGACGAAAAGAGGTCCTGAATCAGCCTCAAATCAGCTAAAAATACTAGCTAAAGTGCTGGTGCAAAAGGGTTCTTTCTGTGGAGGGCTGCCCAGAATTGGGACTTATTAGGGGCAGTGCAAAAGGGGCATAAGTAGGGAGGCCCAGACTTCCCTCTCCCCAGCCACTTGGGCCAGCTCCTCCAGGGGAATCCCAAGGCACTCCCAGGCTAGCCGAGAAACATAGGCCCTCCAGCGTGTCCTGGGTCTTCCTCTGGGTCTCCTCCCAGTGGGACGTGCCCAGAACACCTCACCAGGGAGGCATCCAGGAGACATCCTAACCAGAGCCCTAACGGCCTCAAACAGGTGCTTCTAATTTAGAATAATAAGTGGAGTGGAGGTGGAGTTTTTAGAGGACTAACAGGTCTTTGAGGGCCAGAATTGTTGCTGACTGGCAGGTGTTCAAATACTTTTCATTCAACCTTTGTTTAAACAGATAAGTCACATTGAGCCTCAAAGACTCATTTACAAGTGAGACATGTTTGGACAGACAATAAAAATGATGAAAAATGACGCATAACGTTTGGAGACAAAAAAAAATTCCTAACACGCTTACACACTTATTTGCAACAGTAACACAAATAAATTATTTTTAAAAATTACATTGTGATTTCTGGATTTTTTTATTTAGATTATGTCTCTCACAATGGACATGCACCTAAGATGAAAATTTCTGACCCTTCCATGATTTCTAAGTGGGAGAACTTGCAAAGTTGCAGGGTGTTCAAATACTTGTTTTCCTTACTGTAGCTGGACATTGCATGGATAAGGCAGTTCCATAAAGCTGGAGTAGTACGGCTCAGGGACGACAGTAAAACACCAGCTCATTGTTTGGATGGTGTGATTCCAAAAACATGCTACCTCCAAATTCTTCTATTGGTGATGTCCACCAGTAGCGCCAAAGCTATTATTTTTCCACATTTACACACAAACGTATGCAGCTACACGGGCATGTGTTATTGTCCGTACACCGTTTCGACTTGAGCAATCATCACACGTGAGTTTTTCTGAATTAAAATGCTGATC